CTCTCTCTCTCTCTCTCTCTCTCTCTCTCTCTCTCTCTCTCTCTCTCTCTCTCTCTCTCTCTCTCTCCACACATCGAAACGAGAATGAATCTTCCACGATAACGCGGAAGATTCATTCTCGTTTCGACGTGGGGAGAGAGAGAGAGAGAGAGAGAGAGAGAGAGAGAGAGAGAGCGTCATCCAGTGTCTGACGTCGAGTTTGGTGCACCAAACTCGGCGTCAAACACTGACTGACGCCCTCTCTCTCTCTCTCTCTCTCTCTCTCTCACCAAACTCGACGTCAGACACTGACTGATGCCCTCTCTCTCTCTCTCTCTGTCTCTCTCTCTCTCTCTCTCTCTCTCTCTCTCTCTCCACACATCGAAACGAGAATGAATCTTCCACGTTATCGTGGAAGATCCATTTTCATTTCGATGTGTGGAGAGAGAGAGAGACACACATTGAAATGAGAATGAATCTTCTGCGTTATCGCGGAAGATTCATTCTCATTTCAACGTACACAAAGAGAGAGAGAGAGAGAATGAATCTTCCTCTTTATCGAGGAAGATTCATTCTTGTTGGAAAGGTCTGATTTCGTTTGTTTGTTTGTTTGTTTTTTTTTTGCAGAATGTTGTATGTTTTTTTTTGCTTTTTTTTTTTTTTTTTTCGTTGTATCCTACCGGTTGTCTAAGGCTCGGCAATAAAGTCCGAGGCTCGGGAATGACCAGGCTACCTGTAGCCTGAGCCACGGGCCTTAACAACCGGTAGGTACTGGTGGTTTAAACCACCAGTGCTTCCTAAAGTCGTACACATTAACAAGCCATGATTTTAGGAAATGTATGGGTGACTGCAGAACCGCCCAAATTCATCCAACTATAAATGTTTTCCACTCTATTGTTTTCCACGGCCGATAGTCGGCCTAAGTACTGGTGGGTTAAGTCCCTTCTCTTATTTAAAATCTGATAGGCAGATTTAATGTCCGAATTATCTAGGAAGTTTGTAAATTTCGATTGACAGAGCAAAAGGATGGGATGGAAAGGTAAATCATCTATAGAGGTTTCAATGGGAAAGACAAACCTAAAACTCTCACTCTTTAAAACTCCCCCTCTTCTATCCATTTGCACGTTATTGGACCTTGCATTTTGAGTTTGTCATGATTGCCCACGGAAAAGGGTTCAACTAGGGCATGTCCTGATGTGGCCTCATGGATACACCCCATTGTTCTTAAGTACCCCTTCTTAGCAATCTAGTCCCGCTCTCGCAAGGTAGGACCATTAAGGAGAACCTTGACCAATGCTTAAGGGCTAAATGAGATAATCTGTTTTTTACGCTTTAGGTTTTGTTGAAAATTATGGCAATACCTCAAGGATCTATGGAGGTATTTCACCGTTTTCAAATGCCCTTCCTCTTGATCAGACAAGTCTATTACTCTCGAAATATCCTTATTTACCGTCATTCATTTGTTATCCATCTTCTTTTTTTTTTCCTCCTTTTTTTTTCCTCTTCTTCTTTTTTTTTCTGTTTTTTTTCTTATTATTATTATTCTGGTATATTTTTTAATATATTTTTTATTACTATTATTTTTTTATTATTATTTATTTGATTTATTATAAAGTTATATTAATTATTATTATTACTAAGTATTTCTCCTTCTTTTTCTTCTTCTTTGTATAAAACAGTATGTAGGTCACAGATTCATCCATTCCTCGCACCATCTTGCATCCCTCCGAACAAGAAAGAGAATCATAAGTCTTAAAATTGACCCTCACATTTTTTTTACGACTATGGTGCAGGGGTTCTGCAATGATATGCGTTGGTGCTGTGAGGCAAATCAATGTGCATGTTATGATATTTGTTACCCATCATATGAACATCTACCAATCAGCATTGTTCGTTCTATTGCATTCAAAATAGCTGAACAATTGTCATTTGCTATCAAGTTATCAACAAGATCAAAAACATTATGTTGCCCACGTGGTCCGGTCGAGCAACAGCAATAGGTCCCTCTGGGGAAAAAAAAACAAAAAAAAAACATTACGTTGTGCAAAGAAAGAAGTTCAATAACCTTGATCTCAAGATCACATCAAAATTATTGTAAAATTAAAAAAATAAAAAATATATATATATAGGTTACCAGCTGCCCGGGTCACTATATTTTCTCGGACGACCCGGTCGTGCAAGGACCAAGGAAGGTCCTAGCAAAAAAAAAAAAAAAAAAAAATCCAAAAACTCTGAAATCAAACTATGTCGTGCAAAAAAATGAAATGAACAACTTTTGCCGAAGAGTCACATCAAATTTTTTTACCAAATTAAAAAAAAAAAAAATTAAAGTTAAGAAATAATTTTTACTTTTTTTTTTTTTTTTTTTTTTTTTGGCCCGGCTAGGCAAGTGGCCCCGGGCCACTCAGGTAGCCTATATATATACATATATATACATGGTTACCAGGCTGAAAGTTGGGGGGCCCCCGGGCTGACCCTCGAACGTTTGGGCGTTCGTGGTCCGAACCTGAAGAAGTTCGGCCCCCGCCAAAAATGATTTTGGGGTCTAAAATTGTTCGTTTTTTTTTAGTTTTGTATGACATGCGCTACATGCATGTAAATTTTCATACCATTTTGTCAAGCCAAAACAAAATGAAAAATCACCAAAGATGGTGGTGTCAAAACGTGCTCGGCCACTCAAGTTTTTTTTTTTCACTTTTACTTTTTGCTTTGATTTTATTTTTTGAAACTTTTTAATGAATTTTATATTATGAGAAATACGCAGTTGTCAATTTTTGGGGCATTTAGCTATCCCAATTAAAAATGAAAAATTGCTAAAGGTGGTGGTGTCGAAAACGTGCTTGCCCACTCACTAATTTTAATTCTTTTTTTTATTTTTATTATTTTTTATTATTATTTATTTTTGTATTCTATTTTTATTTCAAATTTTGTACGGAATTCGGATGTAACGTTGAGGCAAATGTTGTGCATTTCATGTTTTTTCATAATACCTTTTTTCTCAGATTTTTTTTTTTTTTTTTTTTTTTTTTTTAGGTCCACGTTCGGCCGTCCGGGCGATACGCATCCCCAAGGCGGGCGGAACATTCGGCAGGTTTGGGTTCGGGAGTTCAACCAAACCCGAACACCAGCAACCCTATATGTATACACTAGGCTACCAAACGCGTCCCCCGGGTCACCATGCTTGCCCAGGCGGCCCGGCCGTGCAAGGGCCAAAGAGGGTTCCGACAAAAAAAAAAAAAAAAAACGTAAAAACCTAGACTACCAGAGTGACTTGGGTTCAGTTGCCCGACCGGA